CGTGGGTTGCAAGACAACACTCTCAGAAATGGAGATGTATCTCCAGACATCTCCGCCAGGCACGGGAACTCATTGAAGGGCCCAGTGCTAAGGATGGGCGTTTCTGCTTATCTCTGGATAGAGCCAAACTAAGGTTGCTGGTGGGACTACTGTCTGGCCATAACACGTTAAGGCGCCACCTGCATGTGATGGGGGTGTATCTGTGAAGCTCTGAGCTACTATAGGCAGACTATACTGGGGTCCAGTACTTTGGACCCTCAGGACCTAAACGAGCTTGGACTCAAGGCGATTTTCATCTTCGCTAAAAGGGAGAGGCTTGCGATCTAAGGAATGTAGAGGTGCATAAGGGCCCACTTAAGCGGCCTATGCACTGGCTCCTTATGGTGGCCGGAATGCCTCTAATTTCAAGATTCATTCATTCATTCAAGGTCGCTGAAAAGGTGATTTATCGTCACCTTGAGAATTTCTCGTCAGATCACCATGTGATTCCTGACGTGCAATTTCGCTTTCGGTCTGAGCATAGTACGGAGCTACAGGCAGTTAGACTGGTGGAGCATGTAACCAGGGGGTTCACCCTGAACAAAAGTGTTGTTTCATATCTATCAAAGGCATTTGACAAGGTGTGGCACATGGGCCTCTTGTATAAGCTCATCCAAAACGGTTTTCCATTTTGGCTTCTAAAACTGTTGAAATCTTGTCTAGAAGGAAGGAAGTTTCTAATCAAAATTAACAATGTGTTGTCAACAACACGGTCCGTTAGAGCCGGTGTTCCTCAAGGTTCGGTCTTAGGACCAATCCTTTATTCACTTTATATACATGACGTCCCTTGCCCCAGCAACTGTGAAGTCTATCTCTATGCTGATGACACTGCACTGCTAGCTCAGTCTTGTTCTGGTAACCTGATTCACGACAGGGTGCAGAGTGCGGTGGAGGAAGTATTGGAGTGGGCGGATCGGTGGTTGATCAAAATTAATACTTCGAAAAGGCAGGCAATCTATTGTACTAAAAAACGTCGCGGTGCCCCCTCAGAGATATCAGTGAAAGGAACTCGTATACCATGGGAACAATCTGTCAGGTACCTTGGACTCATCAGTGACAAGAGGTTGGCCTGGCAGAAACATACTGATATTTTGAAAACAAAATTTCAAATTACCTTTGTCGTGCAGAAATTCAAAATTAAGTTTGAACAACAAGATTTGGTTATATAAAATGGTTATAAGACCCGCAATCACCTATGCATGCGCGGCTTGGTGTTTTCTTGCCAAGACGCACATGCAGAGACTGCAAATTCTGCAAAACAGAATCCTATGCACAATCACTAACGCCCTTTGGTACGTGTTAAATGAGACCATTCACAGAGATCTTGATATCCCATATCTTAGGGATTATGTAAAACAACAGGCGCAGCGGCGTTATAAGCAAGCCGAATCCCACAACAACCCTCTGTTGCGTGATTCAGTAGACTACACAGTCGAGCAAGTTCGCAAACATTCCAGGCCGCGCCTCGCACTGTGATCAAAATTAAATTGTGAATTCAGACCAGCCAAAAATATTTCAGTATACAAAACCGATCAAAATTATTTTTTGGAGTATCCAAGCAATACTGCTTAAGCTATTTCAAATGATTTTGCTTCTTTTCTTTGATCTATTTCTTCCTTCCTTTCTTTCCTTCTTTCCCTTTTCCCCTTAAACATGTTTGGTATCTGGGTTGTCAGACCTGACAGACTAACAGACCGACGAGACTTTTAACTAAGAGCAAAGGTCCACCGGACGAACAATGACGAATAGTATGTAGCTCGATGAGAGAATGTCATCTTTCAGGTTATGTTCTGATCAAGTGGGCCAGACGTCACTAATTTGACAGTCTCACTCCTGTTTGGAGTGACTCACTTCACTAACAAAATAAACGAAACCTATGCTTTCTAATGAGAAATATCTGATTACCAAGGGAAAATATACATGGTGTTCATTTGAAAACTACCCACCACGGATTTATTGAAAACCACTGATTAAAAGAAACAACGCCGAGACACGACAAATGACTTGTCAAGGGGGACAACTCTTTAACCAAAAACTACTTCACTTCCTTTCACCCTCGGTCCCCCAGGGCCATTCCCTTAAAAATTTTAAATGACAAGGGTCTGATTTTTTAAAATCACTCGAGAAAATAAGAAAAATATTTATTTATCTTAATTTGTTTAGATAGAAAACAAAAACACTCGTAAATATAACTTTTTATTTCAATAAGTGTTCAAAACGTTGCCCGTTGGGGTTTCCCAAATCTACAATTCGTTTATAATTTAAAACGGAAACTACCAACATAAACAGCAATTCGGAAGATTAGACGTGGTAACAACCAAATAACAACACGGATATTTTTTTCTACATTCTTTTCATCAACACATATCCTGGGCAAACTGTATTTACTGTTAGACCTGTTTAGTTTTTTGTTGCTCAGGGAAAACATAATTTAATTTGCTGTCAGTTACCTTTGTCACAATCTTGGGATAGTCAGAATTAATTTATTGATTCAGATTTTACTTCCAAAATGGTTTACACACTAGCCGAAAGAGTGGAAATTATGGTGCCCAAAATCAATGTACTCGGCAAACTGCCGTCACGATTAACGCCAGACATCCGGGAAGATAACTTCGCATAGGTATGTTATGGACCTTGTTACTAAATTTACTCAAACCGGATCTGTTGCAAATAAAAAACGTGATCATCGGAGGGTTTTGGATGAAGCCGCTCAAGTTGAAGTTTTTGGTCACACACAGTTACTGAGTTACTAAACGCCATAAATTTCATCCGTTCAAAATGAAAATATTCCAAGAGTTAACCGGGGATGATTTCGATAGGCGAGCTGAGTTTTGTGAACAAATGACTGCAGCGACTAATGGTAATATCATTCATGTAAAGAATATCTGCTTCAGTGATGAATGCACGTTTTATCTAAATGGATTTGTTAATAAGCATAACTGCAGGTATTGGAGCAACGAAAACCCTAATGCTTTTTTAGAAAGGCATACCCAGTACCCCCAAAAATTAATGTATGGGTAAGCATTTTAGGAAACAGAGTGATAGGGCCATTGTTGAATAATGGAAATTTGAATGTAGGAATTTATTTGGATATGTTGTTATCACTGAAACGATTGAAAACCAAACCGAAGAGGAAGTAAACTCTATTCTTGATGAGGCTGAAATATATTTCCAGCAGGACGACGCTCCTCCTCACTATGCTCTTCTGGTTCGGCAATGGCTAGACAACTAGTATCCAGATAAATTGATAGGGCGAAGAGGGCCTATAGAATGGCCTGCTAGATCTCCTGATTTGACGCCATTAGATTTTTTTCTACGGGGTATAATTTGAAATATATTGTATTTACTCCCCAACCTGAAAGTTTGGATGAGCTTCGTCAACGAATCATCGAAAGCCGCCATGATATCCCACAACATGTTTTTGAAAATTTCCGTCAGGAATTTGAACATTGCGTATATTTAACAACACTTATTGCAATAAAAAGCGATATTTTCGTGTGTTTTTGTTTTCTGTCTGAACAAATTAAGGTAAATAAACATTTTTCTAATTTTCTTGAAAACGAATGGACCGATTTCAAAAAGGCAAACGACAAAATAAAGGACTTCGAAATACCTTTCAAACAAGCTACTACTTGATACCCCTTGTCATCTAAATTTTTTAAGGGGATGACCCTGGGGGGCAGAGGGTGAAAGGTGGTGAAGTAGTTTTTGGTTGAAAAGTTGTCCCCCTTGACAAATCTTTTGTCGTGTCTCGGAGCTTTTTCTCTTGACCAGTGGTTTTCGATAAATCCGTCGAGGGAGGTTTTCAAATATATTAAGAATAATGTTTTTGTTTGTCTCTTACATGATTGTCTAGCAAAAAAAAATAAGCTGATATTTCTTCTTTTGATGCTATCTTCATGTTCACTTATTCTGATGTTCGCATTAGCAAAATTATCGCTTCAATTTCGCGAATGCCTCTATAAAGGATGATGATATTCGCGAATAACAGTGTTACACTCGTTATAAGAGTGGTACCCAACAAAGTGTTGCCGCATTTACAAGTTCTGTGATGCTCCAATATACTTTAAATACGTACCACTCGATCAGACAAAGGGCGTTTTCCGTTCATAAGTCGTTTGTTTTCTGCTTGAAGTTTCTCTACAACTTTTTTTAACATAAATACTGTTCTTTCTAGCTCTGAATTTTTTTTAATCTCATCCCTTGTAGGTATCACTTGAGTCGTCGGTTGTGCATGTTTCTCAGAATTCTCAGATTGCAAAGCATTGACGTAGCTAAAACGAGATTGTTTTTGAAAATATTTATCCCAACTGTCGAACAAATGAGGACAGTGCATATTTATTTGAGTTTCGTTAAGATCTTTAGAATCTTAAATTAGTGAATCATCACCTCTGCAAATGTTCTATCTGTTGGCGCAAGTAAGGTACTTCTTTAGATGCCTTTTCTAAGTCTAACTGTAAATCCAAGTTCTCAGCTTCTAGCCTTAGATTCGTCTTCTGAATATTAGAATTCGATATTTGCAGACGTTCCAATTCTGCTCTGATTTCCGAAGGCCCCTGAAAATGTAAAAGTGTCAGGACCACTTAACTGAATAGTGTATGATTTGTATAAATTTAAAAAATCTGTTTGGAAAATAGCAGCAGCTAACGACGCCTTTAGATTTTTGTTACCCACTTTCTATAGTCTTGTTTAAGATACTAAAATATTAAGTCACTTTATAACTTTACAGGGCTAGGAAACTGTTGCAAGGAATTCTAAAATTTGCAGCAGCCCTGAAATTCTGCAATACGTTGTTTCATGCTTAACAAAATTAGACATAACCAGTAATGAGATATTGCTACACCGCCAATTCCAAGCGTATCTGTGTCTCTCACACACACACAGGTGAAAGTTTGATTGAAAGGATTAGGTATTATACATTATACAAGAATAAATAATAGTCATATTTTTCCAAAACAGCAGTCTGATTAAATACAAGAATTCTATGGTGCTACTAAAAATCAGGAACTATTCTAGCAATATTCCGCCAAAATATGCATATGTTCCTGAACTATCACAACCAAAACAGAATTACCTCCGTAACATTCTGAGTATCCAGGTCAGTTAACATCATCAAGTCTTTTACCGGAGAGCATTATAACTGTTATTTCCTAGTTGGCGTTTATACAGCCGAACATTACAGCAACGAACGTGGTGTGACAGTAGTGAATAGGAAGAACAAACATAGTTATTTCCTATTATAATGGTAGCTTGATGTGTTCGTACAACTAGTGTTTTGTGATTATAGTGTAGCCACTTAACAAGCCATCCGAGGATAAGACTGACACTCTGTACGACATTTTACGAGATTTGTTACGTAAGTAGGTGTGTACAGTTGAAATTTGAAGCCCAAAATTTCCCTCATGTAGTACTTACTGAAAGGTTTTTTATGAAATCTACGGAGCCAATGCAAAAGTTTCAAAGTTTTTAATATACAGGGTGATTCACATGTCGTGACCGAAATTAAAACACAGGACCGCATTTCAGGGGGGTGTTCTATGTATCATTTTTCCTCAAGGGCTTCATTGAAAGGATACAGGGTGTTGAAGCTTAAAAATAAAAAACTATTTTTTTATATCTTCAAAACGGTCAACTGGACTGAACTAAAATTTGGTATGTGGATTTACTTAAGCATTGTCCAGATTCAAAAGTCTTTACCTGAAATTAACGTGCACCAGTGGCGGAGATACAGGGGATTAGAGATATTATTTTTTCAAATATAAATAGTACGTCACTATATTTTTTTCGAAACGCGCCGTTTTTCGAATTTTTCCTTCAGTTTGCTCAAAATAGTTATTCTAGTGTTTTTTTCCGAGAATGCACCGTTTTCGTAAAAATAAAAATAAAACAAATTAGATCATTCATGAAGATCTCAGATACAATTAGCTTCAAAATAAAATAGGAGACCTTGTTACCAACATGACATTTCTTGGGAGATAGTTTGTCAAAGTTATGTGTTATATGGTTGTCATCGTTACTACTACCATTTTTTTCGGCAATATGGAAATGCTAAACTTCTCGGGGTTGGAGGCCATGGTGTCTGGCATACTGTTCAAGAGCAACTGGAAGTGATTAATTTGGTGACCGGATGATCCTAGTTTCCTAGTGCAGGTAATAGGCGGATTGTAGCCCAGTTACTATGTTCACAATGTCTTACGTGGAGAATTTTAAATCGGGAAGTTTTACATTCTTACCATCGGCAAAATGTGCAATGTTCGCAAATGCATAATTAAAATGTAGATTTTATGGATTTAGTTTTGTGGCCAAATGAATCGCTTTTTACGAGGAGTGGAACCAGTAGTTCTCATAATGAAGACATTTTTTCCTTAGAAAATCCCCTTCTGTAAGAATCCAATACAGATTTTATAGAAACATCTGGTGTGGCATTTTCTGTGGAAACTGATTATGCACGTATTGCCACAACATTTAAATGCAAACTAATACTTAGCTTTTCTAGAGAATTACATAGAGAATGTGTTAGATGATGTTCCGTTAGCAACAAGAGTACGAATGTGGTATCAGCACGACGGTGTCCCACCGCATGTTCGTCGTGACATAACCGCATGGTTAAATAATCCTTTGGATTTCTTTTTGTCGGGTGCTTTTAAACAACTAGTGTATGCTGAACAAATTAATACTGTTGATGGGATATCTACAAGAAAGAATGGATAATGCGTTTCATCAAATTGAAACCTCAACAAATTTTGCGGAAATACGTTTTTCTTTATTAAAAAGATGCAGCACTTGTATCAGTCAGAATGGTGGTATTTTGAACAATTATTGAAATCAAGCCTTGATTGTCTAATTTGTCTTTTTTATATTTACGAAAACAATGCATCTAGGAAAAAAGTACAAGAGTAATTATTTTTAGAAAATTGAGGGTAAAATTCGAAAAATTGCGCGTTTCGAATCAAATAGTGGCGTACTATTTTTATTTGGAAAAATAATGCCACTAATCCCCTATATCTCCCCCACTGGTGCACGTTAATTTTGAGTAAAGGCTTTTGGATGTGGACAATACTTAGGTAAATCCACATACCAAATTTTAGATCATTCCAATTGACGGTTTTGAGGATATTAAATTTTTTTTTATTTTTAAACTTATCGTATCCTTTCAATGAAGCCCTCAAGGAAAAATGTTATATAATGGGTGATTTTTTTACTAGTATCTTTTTGGCAACACTGCTTTTGACAGATGACGCGTGAATTGTGTCTTGTGTCATTCTCAAAATCGTTCAGTTTGGTCTATAATTTAACAATGAATCGACTTACGAACGAACAACGCTTGCAAATTATTGAATTTTACTATCAAAATTCATTCTCGTTAAGACAGTGCATCGAGCACTGCTTCCAATTTATGGGCAATTTGGTCGGCCTACTGAGGGAGCTATTCGGAAGCTTGTGACTAAATTTCGAACCCAGTTTACATTATTGGACATTAAACCACCAACACGCAGACGTAGAATGAGGACTGAAGAAAATATTGCGGCTGTATCCGCCAGTATTATTGATGACCGTGAAATGTCGATTTGCCGCCGTTCGCAGCAATTGGCCCTCTGTTACTCCACTACGTGGAACATTTTGCGAAAGGATTTGGGTGCAAAACCTTATAAGATACAGCTGGTGTAAGAATTGAAGCCACACGACCTCCCACAACGTTTCCAATTTGGGAATGGGCGCTGGCAAAGTTGGAGGAAGATCCTCATTTTTATCGAAAAATTGTGTTCAGCGACGAAGCTCATTTCTGGTTGAATGGGTACGTTAACAAGCAAAATTGCCGCATCTGGAGTGAAGATCAGCCAGAAGCATTGCAAGAGCTACCAATGCATCCCGAAACAATCACTGTTTGGTGTGAATTTTGGGCCGGTGGCATCATCGGGCCGTACTTCTTCAAAGACGACAATGGCCGGAACGTAACTGTGAATGGCGAGCGCTACCGTGCGATGATACCAAACTTTTTTTTGCCCAAAATGGAAGAGCTGGACTTGGCTGACATGTGGTTTCAACAAGACGGTGCCACATGCCACACCGCACACGAAACGATGGCCCTATTGAGAGGCGAGTTCGGTGAACAGTTTATCTCACGTTTGGGGCCCGTCAATTGGCCGCCTAGATCGTGTGATTTAACGCCGTTGGACTATTTCTTGTGGGGCCATGTTAGGGCTAATGTCTACAGGGATAAACCAGCAACGATTGACGCACTGGAAGCCAATATTGAAGCATTTATTCGTGAGATACCAGCCGATATGTTGGAGAGAGTGTGCCAAAATTGGACCTTGCGCATGGGCCATCTAAAGCGGAACCGCGGCCAACATTTACATGAAATAATCTTTAAACATTAAATTATATAGACCGTTCTATCGACTCAAGGTAAAGATTTAATCGTTTTTTCAAATTTTTTGTGTTTTTTTTAAAATCAAATCCTATACCTCTTAAAAAATCACCCGTTAGAAGACAGCCCTTAAAATGCGGTCCTGTGTATGATGTTTCATTTTTGGTCACGACTTGTGAATCACCCTGTATACTGAGTCCAGCTTTTTTCCTTTGCAACCAACAAATAAATTCCTCGGTTGTAATGAAGCCGCTTGAGCTTATTGTTGCTTGCTCCTCGAAATATACAGTAACCAATCTAGCAGTCTGGTATTCTGTACCAGTTGGTAGTTTCCGTGCCACGGCTAATCTAAGGATGCTCAGGCGCTCTGTATGACAACACTAGAGTCCTTTGAAAGGTGGTCTTATCGCAGAATTCTAAGAATCTCATAGATCGAAAGACTCAGTAAGGATATAACTTAGTGTCAAATCAAGGAAATTACAACATTTAGGACACATTACTCGTGGAGCCAAGCACATGTTATTGCAACGAACCATGTAGGGTGAAATTCGAAGTAAGCGCAGAATTGGCTGAAAAATAATACCCTGATTAAGGACTCTCAGAGAATGATGATGTTCATACAAGATGAGTTTACACGAAAATTAATGAAAATCGCAATGACACCACATTTAAAACTCAAAAGAAAAAATATACCTGCCCAGCCTTGTTTTAAACACAGGAAATCGCCAATAAAGCCAGACCAGCAGTACCACTTACATAAGAAGTGAGGACGACAACACGTGGTTACGTCTCAAATTTCTGGTATAAGCTGAATAATATATATATATCTCCCAGCAACTCGGGAGAATTAATTATATTATCTAATAATTTAAGAATAAAGCACATGTCCAGAAACATTCTTCCGTGTGCAGGCATCAAAATCCAGTTAACCTCTTCATGAAATTCAACGAACCACAAGTCAAGGTCCGTGTTTATTATGCTCTGATAAGTTTTGATTTTGACACCTTGGAAGGAGCTTCGATCTTAGATATTGAACTGTAAAAGAAGATCTATTGTCCGCCAGAATTCGCATGCCACTCTCCCGTTCTACCTTGGTGATTGCGACTCCTATAGACATTTGTACTTTTTGACCACCTCAAAGTAATGTCGATGTCACTTTTTGTCTTACTCGTTGTCGTTCTTGTTTTCAGACGACCACTCATTTATTTTTGGTCTCGCATAGAGGAGCGTGTTGACCGTGCTACTGCATCTACGCCATCTTAAACGGCAATATTCACTCACCGTGCAGTTGTATATGGTCCAGTTGCCGAGCAAATTTCTTCTAAGTACATACTGAGTTTTGGAATAGACACATTAAACAGCAGCGACTCACAAATACGTTTCAGTCTCAAAAAGATCAGTATTGTAAAACATATTGTACTTGCCATTTTTAAAGTAAGAAACGATTGCGCATCGTGTTCGCGCATCTTCTTACGTGGCGTCCGGTCACCCTAAGACACTCTTGGCCAGTTCCTCACTACGCCACCATTATGTTTCACATTTCTGTCGGTGTTGCATTGTCAATCAGTAAACCCGCCGCTCAGTAATTCTGTTTTTGAATGCAAAAAATTTCGTCCTGCTAAAATTCACCGGCAACTTGTTGAAGTTATTAGTGAACCTTAGGCGCTCTATTCGAATCCTCCGGAAAGACCTGCTCTCTAGCAGCATCTTTTTGCAAAACTTAAGGAACTTTTTTGTGGAAAATCACATGAAGAAAGAACAGTGGTTCAAAGGTCAGGCAGCACTGTTCTTTGAGACGAGATCCAAAAGCTGGTGGCACGACTTGACAAGTGCTTAAATATTAATGGTGACTATGTTGAAAAGCGACTGACTCAATTACGAAACGGTTCTCACTTTAAAAATATCCTTGTAGCAAGAATTAAAGCGTCTACGTTGTGAAATATCGCGAGTAGCGTGACCAATATATCACCAAGGAGCCTACCTTTGAGCTAGATTATTTGCGGTCCAGTCTAAAAGCAAACTTTGATAAAAGCATATTTATATCAAGAATTTAGGGAGTGACGAGGGACGGGCTGAGAAAATCAAATCTAGAGAATCATATCTTTCTGATTTGTTTCAGATGATAGGATTGTAGAAGACAGAACTGAAGTAATCCCTAGATTGTATTCAAAGAATATCAAAAAGGATGGAATCCATAATGGTACTATTTATAATAGCTCTAAGTTTGATTTACGTATATTTCAAAAAGTCGTACAACTACTGGAGCGGTATGGGCGTTCCACAACTTTCTCCAAGTTTCCCTTTCGGAGATATGGCGTCGGTGATATTCAGAAAACAAAACATGGGAGACAAAATCAAGGAGATATATGAAAAAATGAAAGGACACAGATATGTCGGGTTATATTTCTTCAGCAGAAGCGCGTTTTTACCTTTGGACCCTGTCTTGATCAAGGATATATTGAGCAAAGACTTTCAACATTTCCACGACAGAGGCATCTACTATGATGAGAAAAATGACCCTCTTAGTGCTCATTTGTTTTCAATTGCAGGTAAGCCGAGTTCCTTTGAGTACCACTAATCCACATATACAAGCAAGAAACTTTATGTTCAAGTATGTTGACCTTAACTATGACTATCAAGATCATTCGAAGATCGGATGAATGTTTAACATGAAATGTCTATTTTTGTTTCCTGAAATGCAAATTGTTGACAATTTCAAGTTCAAGCATATCTTTACCATTTTAAGAACAGATAAATTTTCAAGTAAACTCCTTACTTTTTGTCGAGAATATAAAAAATGGAAACACAACAATTAATTTATTGCTGCATTTTGGATAAAAAATGCTCATTGCTAAAATTTCATTCCTTTGAATATTGCATTTCTTTCTCCGAGACCAATCTCCTTCACCCAAATGAGAAACGAATGACATATACTTTACAATCCTTCCACGCGGGTAATATCATAATAATAAGACCTGGTGAATTACTAAGAAGTTTCATTTCCCTAAAAGTTGTTGCAGGGTGGCTCATATGTAACTGACTGGTTTGTATCTTGAATATTTGTGAAATGAAATAAAATACGTCAATTTTTTTCATCTTAATATTTTATTGAAACTTAGAAATTATGTATGAAAAATAATATCAGACAAATGTCCGCCTCTAGAAGCTGAGCAAACCCGAGCCCTCTTGATTACATTATCCATCACTTTTTGGTAGGTTTCGGGAGGAATATTTTCAATCGCTTTCGTAATATTGTTATTCAGCTGCTCTACAGTATTTGGTTTGTTCGTGTAAGGCCTATTTTTCAAAAATCCCCATAAAAAAAGGTCTGGAGCCGTTAATTCCGGTGACCTTGGTATCCAGTTGGCATCACCAAATCGAGAAATTAAACGTCCCGGAAATATTTCGCAAAAGATTAATTGCTTCTCTAGCTGTGTGACAAGTTGCTCCGTCCTGCTGGAACCACATGTTTTGCAGGTTAAATTGTTGGATTTGAGGAGCCAGAAAGTTTTGCACCATATCATGGTATTGCTCACCAGTGATAGTAAGATAATTACCTACAGCGTCTTCTAAGAAGTAAGGTCCGATGACACCTCCATACCAAACGCCGCACCAAACTGTGACTCGACGAGGATGTACTGGTCGTTGATGGATGACACGAGGATTCTCTAATGTCCAGATACAACAGTTCTGCTTATTATCAAATCGGTTCACAGCGAAGTGGGCTTCATCGCTCATTATCAGTTGTCGGTAAAAATCGTTATTTTGGGTATTAAGCTACAATATTGCATGACTGTACTGTATTGTGATTTTCATGGTCACCAGGCTGTAGTTCTTGGGTTAACTGAATTTTGTATGGCCGCAAATGCAAGTGTTTTTTTGAAATAGTGCATAATGACGTGCGACGGATACCTAGTTCTTGAGAACGGTGTCTGGTAGACGTCTCAGGGAACTCCACTACACTTTCACGAACTCTCTCGATATTTTCCCGAGTACGAACAGTTCGAACATGGCCCGACCTTGGCAAGCTTTAACTTCACATGTTTGCTCAAATTTCCGCCCCACTGACGAATGGTGTTGGCTCTGGGCACATTATTTCGTCCGAATTCGTGTCGTAGCTTCCGAATCATTGCAACAATCGACTCATTATTTAAGTATGAATATTTAAGTATGATAAATTAGACGCATGTGCTTTAAGCAACTGCTACGGCGCCACGTACTGAAATGCGTGTATAAAAATGGCGCGCAATTTAAACCAGTCAGTTATATATTGACCACCCTGTATTTCCTTCTTTCATGTTTTCTAGAATGGCACCCCCCATAAAAAGGATCTGTTCAGAAGAAATAATGAATGCATTTCTTGGGTATGGTTGAAATGCTCTGAGGGGTTAAAAGGTTTAGATTAGGTTCCGTTAAATCTGCTGGAAATACGAATCTGGTGTTACAAAGCCCTTTTTTCGACCAGAGAAAACTTCTATAGCCACGATGAGGCGCAAAAGATCGGCATTATTGCCCTGTCGGAGTTCGTATCCTAAAGTGTGAGATTTTCCAGAAGCATTGCTTCAAGTTTTCGTACAAGGGGTATTTAGTCACCAAGTAGAAACCTTGCTCAGCATCATCCGTCTAACTATGGGTTGAATATCAGAAAATTTTCCCTCGCTTACATAAAAATTGTTAACAATGAACCTCTCAGCGAGCATTAATTCCAGCTGTCCTTGGTAGTCAACTCACATTCAAGTGGATGATTAGGAGTTTCCTCCTCTTCGTGGCGATTTACGCAGTTCGCGTACTCTTTTTCCTACCCCCTCCAGGTGTCAACACAACCATGTACTAAGAGGAACTGTGTAGTGATATGTCCGCACTGTTCCTTTGTAAATCTGAGTTTTGATATCTGGGATCAGCCTTCTAGTATCTAAGTGACATATAAATCCGAACACCCAGTTTAAATGGTTTTATTTTAATAAAATTTGATGAAGCATAATAAGTAAATGATAAAAATTTCAAAATGATTGCACTGCTTTAAAGCCCTTTGATCTTTAATAATGTGTGAATGCACCCTGATGTGCTACGCATTCTCCAACGCGCCTAGGCATGCTTCTGATCAGGTGGTCAATGTCCTCCTGTGGTATCTCATTCCAGGCAACCACCAACTCCTCTCGAAGTGCTTCTAGAGTCTGAGGAGGACGTTGCAAATTGAGCAATCTCCTACCCATCATATCCCACACGTGCTCAATTGGGGATAAGTCGGGAGATCTTGATGGCCATGGTAACAATGTGACATCATTATGTTGAAAGAAGTCTATTGTGACTCTTGCAACATGTGGTCGGGCATTATCTTGTTGGAAAGTTGGATCTACCAGGGTGTCAAGATAGGGTAAAAGATGGGGTTCTAGAACTTCGTGGATATAACGCTGCGCGTTCATGTTACCTCTGATGAAGATTAAAGGTGACCTGGAACCATAAGCTATAGCACCCCAAACCATAACTCCAACGGTGTGATGAACATGTCTTTCAACAAAAAACTGTGGATTCCTCCTTTCACCACGTCGCCTTCTAACCCTGGCACGACCATCGTGCATGCCTAAACAAAATCGAGACTCGTCACTAAAGACAATAGTGTTCCATTCCTGATCCCAGAGTGACCGTTGTCTGCACCACTCAAGGCGATTACGTCGGTGTTCTCGAGTTAAAGGGAGGATCCAGTGTGGCCGGTATGAAAACAAGCCAAAACTTCTCATTCGTCGGTAAACACTTCGCATGCCAATAGATCTTCCGTGTTCTGCAAACCATTCATTTGCAATGGACCTGGTAGTGGAGAAACGGTCCCTTAAGGCCAATAATCTTTGGCGGCGATCTTCACGGTCTGTTGTTCTATGGCGGCGTCCAGTGCCCCTTGCTCTTTGCGTACGGCTTTCTCGAAGCCATGCCTGACAACACCTAACCACAGTGTCTACACTTCTTTGCACTCTAACTGCAATTTCCCGAAAAGAAAGTCCAGCTTCCCGAAGTCCCACTGGACGGCCCCTACCAAACTCACTAAGTTGACGAAATCGTACAGGTGTCCGTACTCTAGGCATCGTAACAGATCGTAAAGGATGTCAAGAACCAAAATCCGCCAACGTTGATTCTTTACTGCGGCTGAAATATTCATTTTTAGAGCGTTAGTGAATTAAAAAAAACCAGTATAAAAACCGGAATGTCTAACTGATAAGGCTGAAAATTTTTTCACTTGTTATTTACAGTAAGATAAATACATTCACCAACTTTTATTAAAATAAAACCATTTAAACTGGGTGTTTGGATTTATATGTCACTTAGTATATATCACTATGGCTCGTTGTATCCCATCTCTCCTTTCATCTGACAAAAAGTGCCTCTCTTCCGTCGCTGCTAGCTTTGGCGCCCCTTTTATAAAGCGTACATCTTTCCTCAGTCAGCAAATCAATTGGCGAGATACCAGCCACCACCAACAGTTGATCGGTTGACATCGTTCTGTAAGTGCATAGCACGCGTAGCACTACTTTTCGCTGACTTCTGAGCATCGAGTTTGCCTCTTTTCCACCTCTCACTACTAGGCCGCCTATTTGATGACATTAGCCGTATCAGTGGTACAACGACTCTATTTAACTTATGTATTATGTTCGATCAGTTTCACATCTTTGTCGAGCCACAGACTCAGATACTTAATTGTACTTTGACTTCGAGTCTCCCATTCTCATACTTAAGAGCTAGTGAAGTTAGCTTCCGTCTTCTAGAAAATATAACCACTTCCGGCTTCTCAGAAACTAATTTTAAGCCATTTTCTTCCAATCGTATAATAATTATCGTGATTTCATATACCAAAAGCCGTTCTAGTCACTATCATCGCAAGCTCGTCAGCATGCCCTGTTAGACAAATTGCCGGCAGCATGGGCAATAAAAAAAACCTCATCGTAGAACATCCGAAGCATCGATTCTAGGTGGGACCCTTGCGGCACTCCCATGATAACCTTAATCGTCTTTTGTCCTTCCATAAGTGTCCTCTCATTGACGTAGCTTTTTATCAAGTTCGGTGCTTAGCTTCTCGAGAGATCCGACTAAGCTTTAAAATTTGTTCTTTCAACACCAGTTTCCAATTTTTGTAAGCTTCACTGAACCTCTTTTTAATTGTTTAGGTCCAAAATGGAAACGCCTACGAGCAAAGCTGACGCCTGCCTTCTCACCAGGCAAGCTTAAGTACATGTTTGGTACTATCGTGGAGTGTGGCCACCAGATGATCTCCAAACTGAACGAAATTGCAGAAGAGGATGGTGAGGTTGAAATCAAAGAGATTCTAGCAAGGTATACCACAGACGTGATTGGTTCGTGTGCTTTCGGACTGGAATGCAACTGCATGAGGGACCAAAATGCTGAGTTCAGGTTTATGGGTAAAAGAGCCTTCACTCAAACTGTAGGAGATGTCATGAAGATGGTAACTAATAAAGATTAAATATGTATATATATTTCATAGCAACAATAAAAACTACCTCTTGTGGTGTAAATCACTACTGCTGCAATATGATGAGGCCCCTCACAAAATTAAATTGTGAAATTTAAAAACACCAATAAACCTAGTGCCTCTACAAACTAAAATATGGCGTCAAATCGGTTAACTCGGCACTTCCCACGCAACGCTATCATTAGTTCCATAAAGAGTTATGTTGGATGGAATTTATCAAGTTAGCCCAATAGTCTCATACAATTAAAATTTCAAAATCTAGCATGTTCTTCTGTACAATTATGGGAATCTATAGGATCTGGCTCCCAGAGAAAATATACTACCCTGCGCTCTTCAAAAAGTTTGGGAGACAGGTGCGCTTATGATCAAAACTATGTGTACATCTGTCCTGGATGGCGATCGACTGTTCACACCCAGGCCGACCTCTACACATATTATGCATCTACACGTGAGGGTCATTCCATCAGTGTTGAGGATAAATGTACGGGGGAAATCTATGATTGGTTTTTTTTATACTCCAACCACCACGAAGGCCTAATGCCTAAACACCCATGGGGTACCGTGGGGCTATAGAGGGATACAGGGGAAAGGGGGAACGCCACACGGGCTCTGGCGAGGGAACACGTGTGCATGCTACATGCTCACATTTTGGCCCCGCCTACGAGATCCGCCATGTGGTTCCTCCGCGTTCGATAGTCCGAGACCATCTACCACCTACGGACAATCACAACACCCATAGCAAAGAGAAAAATTTCTACTCGGATGGGATTCGAACCCGCACATCGCACGGCGACCGAACAGTCTACTACTGCGGCCACCGCTGCTGCCTATTGAAATATGTCTAATAGGTGCGTAGAATTACCGCAGCTGGAGTACACCAATTTTAAAAGATTACCCATTCTGTACCCCCCAATTTTTTACCACTAAAATTTTTTTCAAAAATGATTCGGATCCTCTGAAATGTCAAAAAACGAAATTAGAGCGATTTTCATTATTTTATTTTTTTCGTCCCTACTTTCAAAAACCATGAAACTTTGTGTGCTTGGCATAATAGTAACAACCCCTTGTGTGAAAATTTTATCTGTACCCGACAGGTACATTCCAAGTCATAGAGGGGTCAAGGATTAGCGGACAGGCAGACGGAAATGAGTGACATCGTTTTTCCTGATGTACGAGTACTTGTCATATAACATCAAAACAAACATTTTCGAAATTTTTCGCAATTACAATACTTCTTCGCCAGCGGCATAGGAGGTAAGAAAGCACGTCTGCCCTTTGTAATAGTATCATCTTTTATTTTACAGGTTATAATCAGAAGCTTTCCTCCTTTAGCAAGGATACTTCGACTAGGAGTTTTCTCTGGCAGTGTAACCAGTTTTTTCAATCGCGTTGTGAGAGAAACACTTGAGTACCGTGAGAAGAATAACATTTCAAGACAAGACTTCCTGCAATTGTTGATACAGTTGAGGAAAGACGGACAACTAGATGAAGAAATGTCAAACGATAAGGTACTATGTCAATAATGTCATACTAAAATCAAATTTAATTCTATCTATTCTATCTATTTAATACAGCAAGAGGCGATACTCTATTTAATTACCATTGTACGTAATCTCAAAAACACAATATCGTGCACCGTAAATTATGACACTTTATACAGGGTGTTTCAATTTATTGTTGCATAACTTTAAGATTCGTGGCTTCCAAGATACAGGGTGTTTAAATTTACTTTCTAAAATAGTTTTTTTTTAAATATTTCGAACAATAATCGATGTATAATAGTGAAAATTGGTACACAAGGGTTTTTTGGTACGACAAAACGAACCATGGGCATAGTTTTACTGTAACCGCTAGAGGGCGCTCTCTACTGTACCTGTAGTGTATTAAAATGACCGAAAATTTTTCTTAGTGCAATTTTTTGCTTTTTGAATAAAAAAACTGCTTCTTCGCACTTTTCAACATAAAAAAGCTCTTCTGTGAGTTTTCGTTATAGTTAGCCGTTTTTGAGATATTTCGATTTTTAAGGTTCGATGCATTTTTAATTATTTATGGGAAAATAATATTTTTTTACATTTTCGATTTGGGCATTACAAGTAATTAAGATGATCGTTTAGATTGTGTTTTTTAAACACAGCAATAGTTCCTAACTCCATATAAACACAAAAAACAGAATATTAATTTGTTTAATTTTCCAATATTATTTTTAACAAATTAAATTAATTATTTACAACTAAAATGCTATTGGATAGTTAGGACAAACATACAAAATCTAAAGTAGTTGCTCGAAATCTAAACAAAATTGTTCAATACACAATTCACATCTACGAATGATCGAACGTGTAGCAACGTATAGCATTATTCAAATAAGGCCTTAATTTCATCACATGCATTCCTGATTATGTCTATTAGCATATCTCTTGTGGTTACGGGAGTCTGGTACACTGTTTCTTTTAGAAATCCCCACACAAAGAAATCTAATGGATTTAGTTCAGGGGATCGTGGAGGCCAGGCGACTGGTCCTCCACGGCCGATCCATCTTTCTGGATAATTTTCGTCCAGCCAGTTTCTAACTATTCTCGAATAATGAGCTGGACAACCATCAAGCTGGAACCAGGCCAATCTTCTTAAATCTAACATAACATCATCCCACATATTTGCATGTTCAGCCTTTAAAAATTCCAAGAAGGTCGCAGAATTTAACCTTGCAAAAGGTACGGTCCAAATAGTCGATTACGGTAGATACCAATCCACACGATCACACTAAATTCATGCTGAAAATTTCTTTCCCGAACTGCATGCGGATTTTCGTGCGGCCAAATATGTTGATTATGAAAATTTACCACTCCACGTCTAGTGAAGCATGACTCATCGGTCCATAAAACGTTACTTAAAAACTCCCTATTATTATCAGTTCTATCAAGAATCCACTGACAAAATGTGATTCTTCGTTCTCCGTCCCCTGGCTGCAGTCCTTGCACAGGTTGCAAATGGTAAGGACGTCTATGGTCATTTCTAAGAACACGGTGAACATGGCTTGCTGAAATTCCCAAGGCACCAAAAACTCTCCTAACACTTGTGGTCGGATCTCTATCAGACTCACGCAGAATCATACGGGTAAATCTGCGCTGACAAACATTTATGTTTTGATCCCTTTGGTGACTTCCAAAACCATTTTCAATTATTTGGCGATGCACTTTTACAAATACTGAGCGACTTGGATGTCGTCTGTTTGGAAATCTTCGTGCGTATTCTCTGGCTGCTTCTGCTGCGTTTCCATTTACAAAGCCATACACAAAATGAATATCCGCTAACTCTTGATTGGAGAATAAAAATGGCATTTTTATAAAACTTACAAAAAAAAAACAGGTAAAAGAAGCTAAATTTCGTGCATTCACAGTTGCAAAAAAACGTTTCAGGTTTCAACAGACAAGAAAACTAACTGTCAACTAATTGACGTTTAACCTTATTCTGCTCTCGATTTCAAAAATATTTGCAGCCACAGCCTACTGCTAAAAATTATCGAGATACTGACTTTTTAACGTTATTTTATCATAAATAATTAAAAATGCATCGAACCTTAAAAATCGAAATATCTCAAAAACGGCTAACTATAACGAAAATTCACAAGAGAGCTTTTTTATGTTGAAAAGTACGAAGAATCAGGTTTTTTATTCAAAAAGCAAAAAATTGCACTACGAATAAATTTTCGGTCATTTTAATACACTACAGGTACAGTAGAGAGCGCCCTCTAGCGGCTACAGTAAAACTATGCCCATGGTTCGTTTTGGCGTACCAAGAAACCGTTGTATACCAATTTTCACTGTTATACATCAAATATTGTTCGAAATATTTAAAAAAAACTATTTTAGAAAGTAAATTTAAACAGCCTGTATTTCGGAAGCCACGCATTTTTCGACCCATGTTTATATAGACTTTAGTTCTGTCGAATCTTAAAGTTATGCAACAATAAACTGAACTGAACTGAATTTATGCACATCATTAGTTTTTTTGTTGTAATGTCATATTCTACTTTATCAGCATACTATTGGTACGAAGCTGACTATAGAGGAGGCGGCAGCACAAGCATTCATTTTTTTCCTAGCTGGTTTCGAAACAACATCGACCACTATTAGCTTCGCATTATTCGAAATGGCCCAAAACCAGAGTATTCAAGAAAGAGCTAGAGAAGAAGTTACAAGGTTATTTGATAAGCATGAAGGGCTCACGTACGATGCTGTTATGGAAATGTCATACGTGGACACCATACTTTTCGGTAATATTATACCAGACGGTCTTTTTGAAATTCAATGCTGCTCGACTGTTTTTTAGAAACCATGCGCAAATATCCACCAGCCCCTGTGTTTTTAAGGAAATGTACAAAGACCTATAAAATAACAAATACAGAAGTTCACATAAAGGAAGGACAATCTGTATTGATACCATGTTATGGTTTACACAGAGACCCAGAATACTTTCCTAATCCAGATACCTTCGATCCAGAAAGATTTAGCGCGGAAAATAAATCTAAAATTTGGGATTACACCTACATGCCATTTGGAGATGGCCCAAGAAATTGCATAGGTATGAAAAATATTGATACTGATAATTTCTTCTTGTACAAGTTTTTACGAGTTATGTTCTAGGAATGAGATTTGCTATGATACAAGCAAAGATAGCGCTATCAATAATTTTGAAAAACTTGGACTTTACTCTTAGTAAGAAGACGAAATTACCACTGACTATGGAGAAGAAAGGAATTATTCTAGCGCCCATTGGGGGCCTGTGGTTGGAATTGAGCACAATACGAGGACAGAGCACGTACCTTTAAAATTATTATGTACAAATTATAATAAAGAACTGTGACAAACCGGCTTAAATTAAATTATAGCACCAACTTTATTAAACACCTATTTAGATGAATGTACGAAAAACTAAAAGTCTGGTCGATTATAACTGAACAGAGTTTTTGATATACCAGAAAATATAATTTTTATGTCTAAATTACTTTCACATTTGTACATTGACCCCTAATTCTGATTTCAGACTCGTGTTAGGCGAGAAAAAATATATGGGAAAAATATAATGGGACCCTAAGCGCAATTTTTTTTTATTTTGGAATTGGTCGATTCAACTAGGAAAGGCACTATCTCTTATTATATGTTAATATATCACAATGTTTTCTGCAAAAGAGGATGCAAGTAGTAAAGGTCTGCATAAACTTACTTTGGATGCCAATTCCAATATAGCTATTTTTCTTTCTTGAGCCTCCAACTTTTCTTGCATCATAGCAGCTCCAAGTGCTCCAGAATGATTCTGCTGCATTTCTAGTCTGCTCCTCAGACCCTCCAACTCAGCCTGCAGTCTCATATTTTCCACTCGCAACAACTCCGCATCCCTTGCACTCTCCAAAGTTACGTTGTTCCCCTTCAAACTTCTGTTTCTTTGTTCCAAATTATGCTTCTCCCTCTCTAATCTACAGGGCGCAGCGGCAAAATAAAGAAAAGGTGTTTCAAAGGTGCTGGTGCGAGCTTCCATTATATCTAAAGTGGCAGCTTTTGGATACAAGATACAGTGCTTTTCAAAAATGTCCTTTACTACTTATATATAGTAATATACAGGGTGTTCATTTGAAAACTTCCCACCACGGATTTATCGAAAACCATTGATTAAAAGAAAAAACCCCGAGACGTGTAAAAAGATTTGTCAAGGGGGAGAACTTTTTAGCCAAAACCTACTACACCTCCTTTCCACACTCCGCCCCCCAGGGTCACCCCCTTAATAATTTTAAATGTCAAGGGGTATCAAGTAGTAGCTTCTTTAAAAGGTATTTCAAGGTTCTTTATATTGACGTTTGATTTTTCAAAATCGGTTGATTCGTTTTCAAGGAAATTAGAAAAGTCTTTATCTATATTAATTTGTTCAGTTAGAAAGCAAAAATACACGAGATTATCACTTTTTATTTCAATAAGTGTTTAAAATGTTGCCAGTTACTGGCCAAACAATAGCAATGTTCAAAGTCCTGACTGACACTTTCAAAAACATGTTGTGGGGTATCATGGCAGCTTTCGATGATTCGTTGATGAAGTTCATCCAAACTTTTAGATTGGGGAGTAAACACAATAGATTTCAAATGGCCCAATAGAAAAAAGTCTATTGGCGTCAAATCTAGAGATCTAGCAGGCTATAGGCCCTCTTCGTCATACCCATTTATCTGGAAACTCGTAGTCTACAGTATATTCAGATAAGAGATAGACCGGACATAAACAAGACCACGTGATCATCGAACGCTGTAACATTGGCAGGGACGTATTAAGAGTCACGCAGTACATACTTTAGATAGTAGATGCTGCTTTACGTAACTTTGTAGTAAATTAGCACAATGCGATGTGTATACGATTGGTGATGGATATAGGATCATGTGGGGGTGGGGTAAGAAATATATAATGATGTAAATATACATAAGGGTTTCAAAATTTTCGATTCGATTTCCAGCTTCGGATGCCGCCTGATGTTTGGTGAAATACAGTCGAATATAATCTCAAAATGGCGTTTAAATTAGCCTAAATTAAAAATAATTTTATATCTCTTAAAATTGCTTTTAGAATATTGATTAGTATATTTTTTGATTTCTAGGTAAATATGTAACCAAGTTAAAACGTTCAAAACGTAAAAAAATGTGCATGGTTGAACATTGTCAGAAAGTAAATTCTTGAATAGGTTTTGCCAAAATGGGTTCAAAAATGTCAATAATTAATTAAAAAATACAGTAGCTTTATAATTACTTATAACTTACCGAATTTGATGAACGACATCTTTTATTGGAAAGATGAGCTTGATGAGCTTTCATCATCGCTACTGCCTGAAGCACCAACGTCAATAATGAATGGCTCGACTTGTTCCTCTAAAATATTGTCCAGTTCCCACATTCTCTTTTCAACTTTGTCTTTCACGTGCTTAATACAGTTTTCCCATTTTTGCGCTGTTATTAATTCTAGTGCTTCTTTGAAAAGTCCTTTGAGGTCACAAAATTTAAAAGTTGTATTGTGCTTAGCTATATAATTTTTAACCTCTGCCCATATGAGCTCAATGGGATTGAGCTCGCAATGGTATGGAGGTAAACGGAGCACAGTTTCATTTTGACTTGCTGCCATTTCGTCAATGGCGTATTTTTGATATTCCGCCTTGTGATCCTTGACAATTCTTAATAATTGTACTTTCAGCATTGCTTCTTCAAAGTTGATATTTTTCGAGCGGAGCCAATTTTGAAAATCAACTTTCCTTGAAGCCGTTGTTGGGACCTTCTCCATTCTTCGAGAATGATAAGGCGCATTATCCAACACAATTACTGCGTTTTCCTCTAAGTTCGGTAAAATTTTTGAAAACCACTGTTCAAACGATTCGCCATTCATTTCCTCGTGGTAATCTCCACTTTTCTTAGACTCAAAGCACCACAGACCGTCAACAACAAATCCATCCTCACTGCCAATATGGCAGATAATGAGCCTTTTCCCTTTACCTGGAAATCGAAGTACTATCTGGTGTAGATTTATTTCAATAAGCGAACCTTTTTCAAATGTTTTCATCACATTCAGCGAAAAAACATTGAGACATGAGTATCAGATTGCTATAATTGGGATTATTTAGTCATATTGAAAGAAAGAATATTGAACGTCGTATGATTACTCAGCACTTCACAATTTAATTTAAAGTTATAAACCTTTAAAAAATGAATGATCAAGAACCTGAAATACGCGCAAATATTAATATTAACAAATTATAACTTTATAAAGCTTAAAGTATGAATTAAAATGATTAGAAATATTAGGAACGGTACACAATTTAAAACTTAGTAACTTTTTTAAGTTTATAATATTCGACATATTTTAAGATTATATTAAAAAATTATTGAAATATCGAAAACACATAAAAACATGGCTTAAAAAAGTTCTAACAAATGAAAATGACAATAAAACATCCACGCATTTTATCGAAAGTTATAAAAGTTTTGTTACTTGTAATATGTTTTATCTGCCCCCTGGAATTAATGTTTAGAACCTTGTTCCCAAGGTTTGAAAAACATCCGATTGTTGTCTATTACTCGTATTTACCTGCTGGATTTTATAATCCGGTGGACAGTCCATCTAGGAAGGCCCTCCTGGATGAAGTTACAGAATCATCAACCCATACTTTACTTGTAGTGTGTCCTGCGTTTACCCACGTTTCATCAAGGTAATAAATCTTCCTGTTTTGATTTCTATATTTCCCAATTTTTGTTAAATAATCCCTCCTCCATAGCACAATTTCTTCTCTATCCAGTAGTAAACTATTACGACCCCGTTTTTTCCATTTGAAATTTAAATGCTTCAGTAACGCATGGAAAGTTGATCGTTTGAAATTTGGCAACGTTGTATCTCCATTTACCTCCTGCAGTACTTTATCTATAGTAGGTATTTCATTCCTAAAGAAAAATTCGTGCACTTTCCTCCTAATCGCATGCATATCAGCTTCATCCAATGATTTAACAATACTTTTGCGATGTTTACTGGTCATTGGCTCAGAAAAGGTGTGATTTTTTTTGTATTGTCTTAACACATTAAACACTGATGCGCGACACACCCCAACTTTGTGAGAAACCTTCACAACAATTTCTTTGATGGTTGATGCCTCGTTCTCCTCGCGCTCGATCTTATATATATTCAAAATGACCTCTTTCATTTCTGCACTCAGGTGTCTTATTTTAGAGCGTTTCCTAGGTGGACTACAGGAGTTTACAACTTCATCGGCAGTATCTGTACTACTGGGCATTTTGCGCAAGCAGTTGATAACAATAACAATCAATAACAAGGTATAACAATAACAACGACAAACTCAACAACTTAATAAGATAACAAACGAAAACGTCCAAAGAAATATCAAATTGCAATGATGCACACGACATACGTAACACGTCTGAACCTGAATGTGACTCTGCCTTGATACGACTGCTCTGCCGCTCGGCATAGGCATTTAATTGCGAATTGACCAATGAGGGCTCCTGTTTTACGTCGAGACGGCGGCGTTAGCGTGAAAATCACCCGAACCTTTTGTTTACATCCGGTCTATCTCTTATCTGAATATACTGTAGCCATTACCGAACCGGAAGAGCATAGTGAGGATAAGCGCCGTGGAAAAACAGGGTTTGTCCGGAAAGTAACAGTACTCATTTTCTTCCGCCATGACTGTACCTCGAAGCGTGCGCGCACCGACTGGATTCGGTAGAGGGCGTTCCTAGCTAACGAATGAGCGGCTGGTCAGTTGTCTCCGAGCACTTGGAGAGTCAGGACAGGCATTTTCGCGCGACGTGTTTCTATGAGTGGTGCAAGCCGAAAATGCAGCGTTCGTTAGAGCAGAGGTACGCGATTAAATTCTGTGTGAAACTCGATAATCTGCGACAGAGACGTTTGATATGATCAAGCAGGCTTACCCAGGTGTTGCTTTAGCTAGAAGTATTCGTGTAATTGCCCAGATGTTAAATTTACCAAAATCTGTGGTTCATGACATTGTGACACAGCATTTGAACATGCGCAAGGTGTGCGCAAAGATAACCCCAAAAGTGCTCACTGACGACCAGAAATTGCGGCGGGTGGAAGTGTGCCAAGAAAATTTGAACATGTGTGAAAGTGACCCTCAGTTTTTGAATAACGTAATCACAGGTGACGAGTCGTGGACCTTTGAGTATGATCCAGAGACAAAGAGGCAATCTTCCGAGTGGCACACGACGGCGTCTCTTCGCCCAAAAAAGGGAAGAATGAGCAAATCCACAGTCATTGTCTTTTTTGACATCAAAGGCATCGTCCACCATGAATTTGTTCCTCCTGGACAAACCGTCAACGCCAAGTTTTTCGTGGAAGTGCTCAGGAGACTCAAACGAAGGGTCAGTCGCAGCCGACTGGAAGTTGCACTACGACAACGTCCCGGCTCACATCGCCTTTCTTGTGAACAGCTACCTGACAAAGGCCGGCTTTCCCACGCTTCCGCAGCCGCCCTACAGCCCAGATGTGCCCCCCCGGACTTTTTTTGTTTCCTCGCCTGAACAGGACGATGAAAGGCAAGCATTTT